TTCGTCTTATTTATATGAGTGAAATATGACCTAGATATGTTTCGCATGAATATATTATTAATTACAATGATTATCATTATCATTTTTAGCAGTCTCTTCTAAAAACACTTCATTAATTTCATGCTGTACAAGGTTTCTGGTTTATGCTAGTTTGTGCCGGTTTGGTGCTGGTCTAGCAGTTGAACTATACCCACAGCATATGAAGTTCTCCAGTATAATTCAGCTGCTTCAGCTACAGTTAAGGAGCTTCTGTTTGCTCATGTCATCTCTGGATGTGTAATCAGGTCCCTCCGGAAGCTGACTGTCCATCAGCGAGCTTTCTCTGAAGAGGACGACACAGGCCTTACACAACCAGAACATCCTTGAGATCACATTTACCGGTCTGTCGTGAGGATCCACATTGTTTCTCATCATCATTGTTGATCTTATGTGTCTAGACTGCAGTGACTGTGATTTCATCTGTTCATCAGCGTCTCCTGAGGATGCCAAGCACAGAAAGACTCATCGAGGTAAGATGTGTCTCTTCTTAGCAGTGGAGAAAGGTCTTTTGGACAACGCCTGTCTCCTGCTGGACCACGGCAGCAGTCCGGACGCTCTGGATAAAGAGGAAGACACGCCTCTCGTTGTAGGTCAGAAAAAACCATGGGTCATTCTTCCATTGGAGTGACAAATGAGAAGCAGAAAAAAGAAAAAAAAAAAATATATATATAATTTTTTAAAAAAACTTTAACTTTTTGTTTTGTATTTCAGCTAGTTGCCAAAAGTTAATAACAGTAAATAATTGTAACCAATTACATTTGTAACCAATTAAATTGTTTTAATGCATTATTTTAATGCAAATTATTATAATATATAATCAAGAATTTAGTTTAACAATGTACTAAAATAACTAAAAACTAAAATTAATTTAATAAAATATATATAGACATATTTTAACAACAAAAAACTCATAAAAATGACAAAAACACAACAAGACTTGTTCAATAACAATTTATTTAATTAATAATAATGATATGCATTATGTAATACTTTATATAGTACTATTATTATATATTTTTGGTATCATTATTAAGAATAGTTAAAACACAGAAAGTAATAAAAATGGCAAAAACACAACAAAATTACTAAAACTTGGACTTGAAATTAAAATGGAAAAATATAAAAATGAACTCATTCAAAATATTAATAACAGCTATAATAGTATTTCGATGATTCTAAAATAACACATGAAAAATATGACTGTAATGATATGATATATTATGTTTTATCGGCTCTGGATCTGTGGTTTGAAGTGGCTTTAATGCAGTCGTTTCTGTTGAATGTAAATAGTAAAATGTTGTGTTCAGGTGCTGATGTGGAGTCTCTGGAGTCTCATTAGGCAACAATATTGATTGAGGTCGTCTGCTTCAGGAAACCCTGACGTCATCTCATTACTCTCATTACTGGGCGCTGATGCTAACATCCCCAAACACACGGGACACCTGCCCATCCACAGAGCGGCCCATCGCGGACACGTGAAGTTAGTTTTTTATTTTTTTATTTTTTATTGCAAACAATTCAGAGATGACATTAATGAAATACAACTTTGCATACATTACACAATGTATCAGCAATACATCCAATGTCATCTGAACATATGGAAGAGAAGAGAAGAAGAAAAAAAAGTTGACAATGACTGTTAAAAGAGAAAGATGCATTTAAATAGCTTTTTTATGAACATAAAG